AATTGAAATTAATTAAAAACTGTCTTCGTTCAACTATGTCTCAAAACCGTTTAAATTCATTGGCCATAATGGCAATTGAAAATGATGTATTGGAAAAGGTTAACTTTCAGGATGTCTTGAACGATTTTGTAACAAAAAAAGTTAGAAGAGTTAATATTTAAGCTTATTGTATGATTTTTTTTAAATGCATATATTAATTACTTATATTCTTTTCGTTTGATTCAATATTTTTATTGAATAATGTGATAATATACCTATGTAGTAAAAAACAGCGTAATTATGAATAAAGTGTTGCATTAGCGAAAAAATATATTAAGAAGTTAGAAGACGGTAGGGGGGGGCCGAGACGAGCATTGCCTAGAGGCCGCGACATGCATAAGCCGGCCCTGAGTATGTAGATAGAGTGGATAATAAACGTGGCAACATATGTTAAAATTTGTTTTAAATATATAAAAAAAGAAAAGAGAACCGAAATAATTTATAAATACTCTTGTTTCTTTAAATCACAAGGAAAAAAAACCTATTTCTTACGAGATTTCAAATTCATATAAGATTTCTTAAACTTTTCTTCAGATTGAACAATTTTCAGGAAAACATTAATTTTCTTTTTCTGGTGTGAGTTATCAATCGAAAAATTATTTGAAAAATGGATGCAAACCCTATTTATAAAGTTTACCCCTACAAAAATGCAATAATTTCAACATTCAAACTGCCAATCTATTAACAGAAAATTCTCAATTTTTTAAAATTTGCTTTTAAGCTTGGTTCAAATTTTTTTAACTTTGGTACAAGCCACAATTAACCCAACCATACATAAAATTCAAACAGTGAAAAAAATCACTACATTTATAGAGCAATAAGTTTATACAATACTTACACAGAACGATGGAATATAAAGCGGATGCATGTCCAACGTCCAACCGAGTTGATGCTCTATGGAATAAACACTGAGGCGATCGGGATCATTCCTCCCTATTTCAAGGTTGAAGAGGTCAATTTAGTTGATGATTGTTCCAAAAGGATGTTTAATCTTGTTTTATTTTAACACATGATGATAAATTGGCGGTATCCTATTTGCCGATTTATTACTCCCTAAATCACAAAGTAATTTCCTCTGTTCTAATTGCAACGCACCTGATTTGCGTTGCAACTGGAAGTTTCTGGGACATTTTTCTGTCGAAACTTGGAATATTGCGTAGTTAAAAAAATGTTCTAAATGATTATTGATACGTTGATTCGGTAGGTTGACTGATTTGTAGCAGTCTAAAAAACAAATTATTTTCAGGAATCGAACTCAACAAACGAACAAAATATTTAGATAGTGTCAGAAGCATTTTAGATTACATCAAAATTAACGGTTTCGTGCGTCAGAGAAGATTATATTGATCTAATTTTTATCAAGCAACGCGTTATTTAGAAAAATTAAGAGCAAAATTTGAAAGATATAATTAAATGGTGGTGATAAGTCACATTTCCGAGCATTTTACGCACGATGAGCAAAATAAGAAATGTTGAAAAAATTTCTAACGCTGTAATTAATTTTCTAACGCAATAAAGGCAGAAAAATGTAATGCAGTGTAAAAATATGTAACTTATAATTTTCTCCGGATATAGTATTAAAAATGGAATTGTTAGCTCAAGCTAAAAGAAGAAATTGTCCATTGCAATGCCTTATCACTGTCTCATAACAACTTATTAGTTATGTTTTTTCCGTATAAAGTTAGACTTATTTTGTTAAATTCTCAACATCTTATTATTTTTATTTAATAATTAAAAAATTTAAATAATGAACAGACAAAACTAAGCAAATAATTTCATAAAAAAATGTAGGTGAGGGTAAAAAAAATAAAAAAAATTTCTAAAAATAACACTATGCTAGAACGATGTGGTCCCCACAAATTAACTTCCTTATTCTAAATTTCCTTTTTTAACTTAATTTAAATTTAAAATAAGAAATAAATATATAAATATAAAAGTTAAAATCTATACCTAAAAATAAAATAAATAAGAGCAAAAACAATTATATACTACGTATTAAAAGTAAATTCTGAAAGGGTTTAATTGATACAGAATTATTTATATTTATCTTTGCTTATAATGCATCGATATTTCACGATCAACAAACGTATATATGTGCGTGTATGTATAAATGGTGTTCCGTAAATGTTGCGACAAAGTTTTAGGGAAAGTAGGGTACATCATAAGGATTGTGAATTACCTAGGAAACCATGACCGGAAATGTTATCGTATGCCGCTAAGAGCGCTTTCCTATATTGAACTGTTAAATGGTGTGCCTTTGAACATCAGGAACTTTTATTTATCTAAATTATCTTAATTTTTTGTTTTCTATTAATTATTGTCAAAAACTTCTTTCAAATAGGTACAGTATTAGCTGTTTTATCGATTTGGTGACTAACTGGACAAGCTCACCTCATCATTAAATTACGATAGAACAGCATTTTTAAGCCTATTTCAAGGGAGATTTCGACAATAGCTAATATTATTGAGCCGTGGTGGTTCAGAGGATATAGCGTTCGCCTCCCAATGAGGTGAACCGGGTTTGAATTCCAGCGATGGCTGGTCGATACAAATTCCGCACCCAGCTGGCACCGGCTACAGTGCTAACGTAAAGTATCCTCTGTGGTAGACAGATCTGGGGTTAGAGTCCCCTAGATGTCAGGCTAACCATGGGAGGTTTTCCTCACCATGCAACACAAATGCATTTAGTTCCATAAAAAAGTCCTCCACGAAGGTAAATTTCTCCCAATACTTGATCCAGGAGTTCCCTTGTTTTATGAATTGAGTTCAAAATTACAAGGATATAGAGTTGAACATTAGTAAAACCCAAAAAATTGGGTTGGCTGCTCAACGACGGTTATAAAATAAAATAATAGCAATATGAAATTAAAATATTTAAAAAAAATAAAAGTGCAAGTTCAAAGGCACAAGGTTAGCATGTCCATAATAGGAACGCGCCCCTAGCAGCGTAAGATGACATCTCCCGTCATGGTTTCCGAGGTAATTCTTAATCCTTACGATTATTTATAGTATATATATCAGTGAGACGAAAAATTAAAAAAAATTACCAATAATCAACCTTATATGCTGCTGACTTAGCGTGAAAGCATTTTCAATTAAACCACACTGTTCAAACGATTTTAGAGATTTCGCCAATTGTCCATTCTTATCGTTGCTATGGCGACAGCTGCTGCTTGATAATTTTTTTAGAATTCTATCTTTCACTTTTAATTTTGTTATGCATAAAGTTGGTGAGTTTATTTTTGAGATATGGGACCAGAAAGATCCCATAAATACTTCTTGAGTTGTGAATAAAAGAGAATTTCATCATTCGAACGATATTTTTGTTTTTATTGTTTTAATTAAGAATCATAAATTCTAACCTATAGTTCAAACTGGATCATTTTCAATACTAACTCAGGTGAATATTATAAATAAAGAGGGTTCAAACTGATTGACATGGTCCCAAAAGTTAGAGTTGAAGCAAGAAAAAAACGATGCCAAGGCCTAAACTTACCGAAGCTGAAAAAGCCAAAACCAACGGAACGTAGGCGGGAATACCTTAAGGCTTAAGCTTTACACACTATCGGAAAAACGAAAGGATTCCATTCGCAAACGCAAGCATGAAGCCCATCCCTCACAAAAGTACCAAAGTGGTTGAGATAATTGAACCCTACAGAAGAGCGAATGGTGGATCTCCGAACCCATTTCATGCGAATACGAGAACTGGTTGTTGATCATCAATTAGGTATAAAAGGATTTATTGTCAACATACCCAATGACTTGCACAAGACCGTAGACTGTCTTCCACGCAATATAAATGATTTATTCATGTAAAATTGAAAAAAAGCCTAGCTTTCAAATCATATTTCATGTATGAACTTGTGAATCCGAAACGGATGAATGATGCAGCTTACAATCTCCTTCAAACACCATTGCACCAATCCGAAAATGTTAATATTGATCTCGATTGGCTGTTCAATGTCTATTCCGTCATCAAAAGAATTTACGCAGAATGTGTCTGAGCTGCATTCAAATATGTCTGCGAAACTGTGTACCCAGCAGTTCAGGATTAACAGTTCAAGATGTCCAAGATGAAAACACAATAACGTTGCTTTTCCAAAAAAAATTTTACTTCAACCATTTTGCCAATCGCCTTGCGAGCGATCACAATTTTTTTTTTTTATACATAATTTTTTACATTTGAACCACATCCAAACATATTTTTTTTTGTTTTGTTGCTACAATATATTTTAACATTTAAGATATTATATGAGAATGAATAAATAATTAGTTACATATATTTTGTATTTTAACGTTTAAAATATAAGTGTTTATTTTTTAAACACTAGGTTTTTAAATAAATCCATTTCAATGGCATACGGAGGCGAGGGGATACCAGGGGCAAATTTCATGAACTCATTTTAATGCTAATGCATGAAGGAATTATAATACTTATATATTACAAGTGCAGTAAATGAATAACCAAATTATTTCTGGTACTTAATTGTGGATAATAGGTAATTATGGATAATTTTTACCACAATAGAGATATTGTGGTAAAAATGTTTTTCTGACTCTCAAAGAGTGATAAGTAACAATATTATTCTTTTCTTGAAATATATTATTGCTAACAAAATATTCTTCAGTTTCCTTAGTGTCAAAAATAATTCAATTTTAATAGTATCAAATGTTATTATTTTTTTATTACAAAAAATTTAATAAATATATTTAGATACATTAGTTTTTTTCTTCTTCCAAAAAAGCAGGATGAAAAAAAGTTTTTTATTATATATATGATGTAATATTTTGTGATGAAAAAAAGCTTCTAATGTTAAAAAAACGCTTGCAAAAACTGGGGAAAATTAGCTAAGTCAGCAACATTATGTTAGTGTTACATATGCTTTGTACTTTTTATTATTAAAGTTCACGGAATTAAAAATTATTTTTAAAATTACATTTTATAAGCACTACTGTACATATAAAAACATTTTTCGAAAAATATTACACCCAAAATTTAATATAAAACCATTTTCAAATGAATCCTGCTTCGCGAATAATTTAAGAATTATAGACTATCATATTAGCACTCTAAATATATGCTGGAGACTAATGCTTTAACTTATGAGGGGATATGTTGGACAAAATGAAATTTTTTTTAAATTATGAATAAAATTTTATGTTCATATATGGGTGATTTAAGAAAGTATGAAACCCGTATTTTATTATGAAACCAGTTTTAAATGTCTACCACATTGCAAAAAATTAAAAATTTTCTAAAATGTTCACTTTTTGTCAGCGTTACACATGCTCTGAATGTAGCGCGTTTTAGACTAAATAAAATTTCAGCTTAAGCAAGTTTAAGTGGTAGTCCATTAATCACTCCAACCGAAAAGGGAGAGATTACGCATGTGCTACTTAGGGGAGATGGGACATAGTTCCTTGGCTAGGACAGATAGTGTAGTGCTCATCGAAGTCAAAATGGAAGCTGACAAAAAGTAATTAATCCTTTTTAGCAAAAGTTGCTTTCTTGCTTCTTTTATAATTTCAGTAATTCTATTTTATTCACTTTTCTTGTTAATCATCTATATCTAAATTGATTAATAATCAATTAATCGTTTAAAAATGAGATATTCGCTCTCGATATTATAACAGCTGTTAACAAAAATATTACGTAAACAATATGTAAGTGCAATTATTAATGTTTTTGAATGAATGGTAATTATTATTAATGACATTTTCGTCAACGCATGTGCACATTCTCGACTGTTAGAGAGTTGAAAAGAGTTGTTAGTTGCAGGTGGTAATTTACGCCGCATCAGAGCTGCACAATGGGCTATTGGCGACGGCCAGGAGAACATCTCTGAGGATGATCCGAAGATATGCCACCATAATTATTAATTTTGATCCTCTGCGGAGGGGATGACTCCCCCGCTTTGGTTGCCCAATGATTTGTGAGCGAAGTCGAGAACTTCACCATAGAACAGTTTAACCAGGAGCGATACCGCACACCTTTATAATCTGATCAAAATGGTCACCCACCCGTGCACTGACTGCAGCCAATGATGCTTAACTTCGGTGTTCTACTAGAAATCATATCTTACGATCAATGCACTGTGTTAAATGTTACAACTGTTGTTTAAATTTAAGGCAGCATAACAAATACTACTTAAATTGAGAATTATAAATAGTGCAAAATAATTGAGTGCAAACTCCCCTAGTGTTACCTTTTGTTCAAATTATTGTAAACATATTGATTTAGCGAATATTTTGATCAGGAAATATTTTCCTTGTCATATTAAAGAGACCATTGATACAATAATCTTTTGTATAAATCCCTCTTTATTCCGAATAAAACAGTTACAAAAAGATATGAAATTTGTATTACACACATTTAAAGATGACAAATATATCAAATTCTCTCTATAACATCAATAAGTTTATCACTGAACCTGAACATAACAACGGTGAAGTTTAACCCTTTCACATCTAAATATATTCCTTAGCTTTCGAATATATATATATTTTTCTCTAGTTATTAGGTGAAAAACAAAAAATTTTTATTTAAAAAGTTTGCAGAATTTTATATTCATATTATTTTTTATACAGATAAATGAATGTATTCCATATTTAGCTGAGACAATTATTATATATTATTTTTAAATTATTGAAAAAAAAATTGCAAAAATGCAAATAACTAAATTACAATATTATAAAAAAAGATCACCTGTTTATGACATTAAATCACCTTTCATCAGTAATTTCTATTTTTAAAAAGAAGTGCAGTGTGATAACTACAATGAAAACTATACTATAATACTGTGATAATTAGATAAATGTGATAATTAAAAGCAAAGAAATAAACTTAAAAAAAAATAACTTAAGAGTCCCATAAAATTGTATTGCTATAAAGCAAAATCAGGTGTGAAAGGGTTAATAAAAGCTTAGTTATCAACAAATAATTGAAGAGGTAATTTGATGAAGGACATATATAACAAGTAAAAAAAATTTTAAGTCGAAATTTGAAATCTTTCATACTAGTATATCAGTTGATTCAGCTATTGCAGCACTATTGTCAATATCACAAAACAGACCTTTCATAAGGCACCTAGCCAATTTTTTATTTAATGAAATTAAGTTTTTAACAATTTTCTGAGGTACAAAACACTATGCTCTATGTTTCATTTTCTAAAGCTACAAAACACTATGTTCTAAGTCTGAAAATAACAAATATGGCCAGTTAGAAAAGGCACTTTAATAGTACAATTAAAGATATAAAAAAAAAAAATCTTATAAGTAGTTCTGGAAAAGTTAACATTTATGACATAGAGCCTTTTATTTCTGATATAGATATAACTGTAATCATTTTTTTTTACAATAAGTTATAAAAAATTTATTTACAAAGTAATTATAAAATATTAAACTTATAACCAGTATATTTAAACATTTTTATAAATAATAAAAGGATTAGAATAATATTGTTACATTTAATTTTTTTTATCTCCAACACACACTTACCTCTACAATTCCATAATATTAGAATTTATAAAGCCGTAACATGCTTTATAAGAGTCTTGCTACATTAAGTCATATGCATATACATATAAAACAAATGCCTACAGACTACATTTGTAGTGACGTAATTATCTAAAAAAATGATAATACTTTTTAAAAACCAATTTTATACATAAATTTTGAAATTAAAGTCGATAAAAAATATCTTTTTGGATACACAAACACAGGATAATCCTAATTAAAACTCTAAAGAACATGCTACTAATGGCAAAAGAAATGATTTACTAATAGAATTAGATCTAATGTAAAATAAATCATAGAATATCACATGAGAAAAGTATCATAAAAAATATTACTTGTAATTTTTAAATGAATAAATTTGAGACACACAAAAGCAATGTTAAATGAAAATGCTAAGGCTAGTTGTAAACATTCTATCATTGTTGAAATTAACACTTTATAGTAAATAATATTCTATTTTTATTACTGTTTGGAAATTGCAACGTTTATTCATAGCTCTTATATTAAGTTTTGTACATCTTTAGCCACCCTGTCAATTAATAACATGGAATAAAACGTTAACAAAATAATAATAATAATTACAATTTTGTGAAAATGAAAGTACTCAAGAAGTAATTATTTTTTTACATACTTCAATGCTGTATTGTGTAGGCTTATAAAAATATGCAAAAGCTGAAAACAATTCATTTGAATGATTTACATAAATTGTGGAAAATCTTCTCCAATTGTCGATTTTTGAAATCATTGAATTATTTGTCCAGTTTAAAGTCTAAAAAATTCTGTGCAACTGGAAAGTATATAAATAGTTTAAAAATTAAGTTTTGCTTTGAATTTAAAGCACTCAAGTGGTGGTTATTTTATTTTTAGTCTAAAGAGTTCAAAAAGCACCTTTAAACAAAATAATACATATTTTATATCATAAAGTTAATGAATAATCAAATGAATAAGTACAGAGTGAATCTAATGTTAAACTATTAGAAAAGGTCAAACAAATAAAAATGCAGAAAAATTATATTTCATGAAATAGAACCATTTCATGAAAAATAAACAGTTTTGATGGTTGAAAATAATCAGATTTTGTTTAGTTTATTAATTCCATAGTTGGATGAAAAAAATTAACAAACTATACCATAAAGTATAAAAACCTTTCTTGTTTCATGTGTAAAGCAATTTTTTTATATAGAAATCTATACACATATATTTAAATTGAAAGCATGATATTTTATTTGTATTAGTTTTATACAAACAGAATAAAGAATCACTGGTTTTTAATTAACCAAAATAAATGGTAATTTTTTTTATTTTAAATGTCAATTGTAAATTTAAAATGATAAAAAAAATTGATACATCTTTACAAAAATGATTTAATGAGAAACAGTTATTGGACAAAAAATACATATGATATAGCTACCAGAGTAATAACAGTTTCAAAAATATCCATTAATGTAGTTTTTTATTATTATAAAAATGGGTGAGTTAATAAATGGGAAATTCGAAATTTCATGCTAAAAAAATTTTTGGATGTTACGAAACAGTTCCTGAACCTATTTTGTACATTACAACTAGAAAAATCTTTTTTAAAAATAAAATATAGTTAACTTTTAATTTGTTTTAATTTAAATTATTTATATAAAAAATATTTATTTTTCTTTGTAATTTATGTGCATTGTATGGCAGTAAAAAATAAAAGCTCATATTAGATTTGTAATTTTTTTTTATTATCAAGATTTAAGATTTTTAAAAAGTACTATGATTAATTTTAAAGAACATTTTTTTAATTATTTGCATACATTACACTGTAATAAAATTGCAAGCTCTTTATACACTTGAAGTTTTTTATTGTTATCAACATTTAAGATTATCCACAGTTATTGAGATTAATGTTTGGTTGTAGAAATAGAATTATTTAGGTTGATAGAATTTGGTATATATTTAAAAAAATAAGCTCTGAATGAAAAGCATCAATAATAAAGTTATAAAATCTGCAAAATGCATTTTATCTTTATTAATAAGTGAAACAAATTAATAATTTAATATATATATAATTAATTAGTTATTGTTTTTTTACTCTAAAAATATTTAAAGGATATTAAACACTTGGTTTATTATTTTCCTACATGGAATATTATTTAAAGAGTAACAAGTATATTTATAAATAAGTGTAATTATGATAACAATTAAAAATACAATGCAGTGTAAGAAAATTTTCAAATTTAACATAATAAATAAATGTCCAAATACACCTTCTAAGGGTTAGAATGAAAAAATAAATGTATTTTCAGTAAGTGGGAAAAAATTATTTTAGTTACTTGACTTTTCTAAAACCAGTAATAAAATTTGAGAAAAACAATAATCCTGATAAATAGCAAATCATACCATATGAAAGGACAAACACTTAAATCAATAACAAAGACAAAAAAATCACAACCCTCAACCATAACATTATATAGTAAAAACGAAATTACCAATTTCAACAAGAATATAAGAAATTTCAGGACAAATAATAAACTAAAATAAATTTGTTTAAAATAAAAATCACAAATAAGATTTTAAAAAATCGATCACATACAAATTTTGCATAAAAACTTTTAGAGATAAAAATGATTTTCAATACTTTTACAAACCTCTTTTTCAGATAAAAATAATTACAGATAAAAGTGATTAAATACTATTACAAATAAACATAACTTTTAATACGTATATGGACCCTGATTTCAACATTTACTAATAATAGATAGTTAATTAAATAATAAGTATATTAAACAATAAATGCTCTGGAAATGCCATACTTATTAAATACAAAATAACATGAATTTAGCTAAATTCAGAAAATTAGTTTAGTAAAATTTTTTACAACAGCTTTGTTTCTAATTGAAAATACTGAATTATACATAATAATTCTATTGAAAATAATATATATAGTTCTATTAAAATTCATAAATTACTTAAATCTTATACAAATTTAAGCAAAAGATAGTTTCAGATCTAAAGCCTCAAAACCAAATCAAATTAAAATATTAATCATAAAATTTTCCTTTTGACAGTTAACAGTTTATTAAAAAAATATACTTGTTTTATAATATGTTTTAATATATTATACGTGTATATAATATGCTTTGGAGAAAAGACAAGCTACAATTTAACTCTTATTATTTTATAATTTAAGCTAGAAAATTTTAATTTTGAGACCTGCTCGCAAGAAAAACAAAAAAAAAGCTAAATTAATATCATAACAAATGTTTAAATCATAGTCGCAATCATAAATAAGTACTCAAAACTTAAGAAAATACTGAATTTTTAAAAATAAATAAATAATAAAATCACCGGAAAAACATTAAAATTTTTTCATGCAAACATCAATTCATAAAATATTTTATGATTGACTTATAGCTTATTAGTATTGAAATTAGACCACATTAAAAACTTATTTTTTGTTTTGAAGAAAAAAAAGTTACAAATTAATTTTAATAATTTTAGCTAACATATTTTAATTTTGAGATCTGCTTTCAAGAAAAACAAAATGAGCTATATTAATATCATCACAAATGTTTAAATCATAGTTATAATCATAAATAAGTATTCAAAACCTAAGAAAACAATGCATTTCGTTTTACAAAAATGAATAATAGAAAAATCACCGGGGTAAACATTAAAAATTTTTCCTGCAAACATCAATTCATAAAATAATTCATGATTTACTTATTTGTATTGAAAGTAAACCACATGGCTTAAAAAAATTTTCTTATTATACAAATCATTTGCTTTTATCATTTTACAAAGAGAGTTTCAGAATAACTTGCACAGGTATTTAAGATATAATAGAATTTTTATTTATAAAAAACCCTAATTTAATTAAAATCAGATCTTTTCTTATTAACAATAAATAGCTGTACATACTATAACATGTATATTATACAAATATAAATATTTATTCAAATCATTATGTTTGCAAAGATCACCATTTCCTATGAGTAAAGTTCCTTGCAAACCCCAGAAGTTTTAAATGTATAAAATCACATTTCAATTGATATGGACGGTTTTATTGTAACAGCAATAAATATTTTTATTCATTATAAAATAACATGATTTAAAAAAAGTGTTTAATACAATAGCAATATTTTCTGATTTAAAGTGTAACAGCTTTAAATTTTTCAAATGTATAAATATATTTAAATAGATAGTATCACAATTATATTTAAAATTATAAAATACTGATCATACCTATGAACATGTTTCAGAAAATGCACCGGTTAAAATTGCACCATGAATAATGACAACAATTTGCAGAGGTATTGTATATTCACAGTAAAAAAACACTTAAGTACCTCCAAAAATCAATCTTCATAAAAAATTTTGATTGAAGTATTAATGTCATATACAAAAATATAACTCCAAGTCATAAAAGCAATTATTTTCACCCGACATTCATTCGAATGAATAATGTACATCTACGTTCCATTTAACAAATAACTTCAATTTGTTATAAGACTATGCTGATAATATTGGTGAATATTTTTTTTTTAAAAATGGAACATGCACACGTATTAAAAATAACGAATATTACTTTTAAATATAAATAATAGAAATTAGAAGTACTATGAGCAGAGGTCTCTAATACTGCATTTCGTCGTAGGTTTAAAACGAAGATGCTCTTCGATAAATTGGCAGGGACATCTTGCAGAATCACAATGTCGGGGTGGCGTCGGAGGTCCAGTTTCAACTGTACCATCAGGATGTAAAGGCAATCTTAAATCTAAACGTTTTCTGACAAATTCTTTAACCCAACGCTGACTGTATCGCAAGAGAAGTTTTTCAGCATATTTCTATTAAATAAAATGAAACATTATGTAGTAATAAAAAATTAACAGAGAAAAATTACATTGAAATTAAAATCCCATTAATGGATTATTTGCAACAGTCCAGTCCCTTAATTAATCATTAGTAATGATCTGATGATAGTAAAGGAGCTTTGGTGCATTACGCTAGCACAATTTAGATTGCAGAAGCAGTTAGTGGTATTATTGGGATGTCTCTACACCATGTTCATGAGAATTTTATGCAAAAAAAATTTTAATTTATACTTTTTCATTATTTATGTTTTTCTTTTAATATTTTTTGTACATACAAACATTTAATGATGTAATATTATTAGACAGCACAATTCTTTGCCAAAAAGGAAGAAAATAAAAGGTTCCTAGAATTAAATTAGGAGAAATAATGCTTTATAGTTTTTAAAACTTTTATGAGTGTTTTCTAAAAATTTAAAGCAATAATATGATGCGATTTATAGTTTTGAGTGAGTAATTTAAAACTACATGTCTCTCAGTTTTGAAATTTCTTAAAATCTTATTTTAATTATCCGTCAAATCAGCTTATTATCCCGCAAATCTGTTTATAACAGTTTCAACGGATTTGCAAGATGATAAAAAATTCTTTTAACTTTAATTGCATAAAAATAAAGATTCTTATCAAAAATTTAAAAACAAGTAACTGTATACTATTTAATTACTTATCAAAAAATTTTTATTGCAGAATTGTTAAAGCATAATTTTGTCACAAAAAATTAATGGAGAATCTAAAATACAGCACACTTTATATATGAAATTGTGATTGGGTGGTGCCTTGTATTTTACATACATCAAAAGATACTACCAAATAAAGTAAATAGCCATTATTGGTTTATGAATCTAAATACAGCAAACTTTATATATGAAATTGTGAGTGGGTGGTGCCTTGTATTTTACATATATCAAAAGATATTACCAAATAAAGTAAATAGCCATTATTAGTTTATGAATCTAAATACAGCACACTTTATATATGAAATTGTGAGTGGGTGGTGCCTCGTATTTTACATACATCAAAAGATACTACCAAATAAAGTAAATACCCATCATCAGTTTGAATAAAATTTGTTATTTTCCAGGTTTTGGCCAAAAATTGCATTATTCCCAGACAATTCCCTAACTTTCTTTTCTCCAAAATCAAATTCCCTGATCATTCAAGGTTTTCCATACTCTGTGGAAACCCTGAGTAAAAAATAAAATGTATTGAACTAAAAAAAAACTAAAGTAAACTAGAAATTCGAACAGAAAGCTCTCACCATATTCATCTATAACAAGAGTATAACAGTTTTATCATATCAGACCAAGATGTCAGAACTAATAAAAATTGTAGGAAATTCTTCAGTTGAAGATATACAGTTTAAATCTTATATTTCTTAGTCCTATAATGGATAATCCACAACACTTTACAAAACTCAGTTTTAAAGAAGTTTAATCTAGAATAGTTCTGAAAAATGTTAGGTTCTGATCTTTTAATTTAATCTCTCATGAGCTTGTGGCACTGCAATGATTTCTAGCTTAAGTCAGCCATTAAAATATGTTGTTTTAAATGAATTTTACAGCATAACACTACCATATCTGTACATACAATGTTGGTGACGTTACATTATGGTAGATTTCAAACTACTAAAAATTCATCCAAAAAATTAAATTTTTAGCGAGGAGGATTGAATGTTACTCTAAGTCGTAGAAGACAAAGATTTATAGATAGTCTCAATATTTAAAGTTAAAGGGTATAAAATATAATTTCAAGATATCTAACATATCTAAACTCACCAATCATATTAGTAGAATTTTATTTTTTTAAAATTCCAATTTTTAAATACTATTATACACTGTTAATGAAATAATATTTGTAATTAATATTACTTTATTTACTGAAAGCTCAAAAACACTACATTAATTAAAGTATTCAGAACCTCTATATTTTGGAAATTGAATTATTTTACATTAGATAACTAGAGAGATACTCACTTCTTTTTGACTAACACGAGTGGAATTACTGCCAGTGATAATTATATCTGATCTATCAATATCCATTCTAGACTGATCAATATTAAGCTGCCCTCCATTAGCTGCAGTCTATGATAAATAAATAAAAATTAATAAAAAGAGCAATTTACAAGCAATTAACACTTCAATTTACCGCTAACACAGTCAAACCCATAGTGAACCTTCAAGGGACCAAAATTTCGGTTCACTATAACCGGGAGTTCACTATATCCGTTACGTAGGTAATTTCACTAATGGTTCCCAAACTCCTCCCTTTTATTACACTATATTCATATAAATGACTGAAAAATATTATGTAGTAGCAAAAAATGTGTTATTTTTCATCACTCTTCGTGTTGCATACAAATAAAAATTAGTAATCTTTTGCTGACGAGCAATACTCAACATCAGATATGGAAACACTTCCCGACTCTCAGATAATTTTTCCTGAATTTCTATTCCGTTTTTTAAACCTGTCTAACCTGCCATTCAAGCACATAAAAGTAGTTTCTATCGGTATATGTATTTACTTTGAAGTAGAAATTTCAAAATTATTACAAAGAAAATGGGGGGTGGGGGGAAATCAGTCGAAGACTGAAAAAAGTTCATTATATCCAACTTCCTCACTTTTTTGGTTCACTATATCCACTAAAAATAACATTATACGTGTATAGCAAGGCACGGGACCGAGCATTTCGTTCACTATATCCGGGAGTTCACTATAGCGGGGTTTGACTGTATAGTTTTTTCTTACAGTAGCAGAGCCTCTATATAGAAATTCAACACAATGAAAAATTTAAAACATTTATCTGCCGAATGTGTAGTAAAATATTTATTTTTAAATGTCAATGAGCAAGTTTTAAAAGGCAAGAATATTTAACTAAAAAATAATAATATAATACATAATTAATTAACTGCACAACGAAAAAGTACTTAAATTTAATTAACGGAAACTTAATTAGAGACGATGAAAACTTAACTTATAAAGAAGAAAGGCAAGATGTTAATGTAGAGGAAATAAAAAATTTTAAGTTTGACTTAATTTTGTCAAAAAATTTTTTTTAATGTTTGGTATATTTTTCTTGGCAAGACCAAAATAAATATGTGGTGTTTACCACCATACCATGCTTTCTGAAAATCAGGTACTTTACTACAACCAACAAAAACCAAATTATGGTACTGACAAACTTAAAATATACCAGTAAAACATGATACAGCAGTTAAAATAATTATTTTTTCAGTACCAAATAGAGAAATTTTAGAAAGAGATAAGAGAAATATTGAAGCAGTTAATACCACAAATAGAAAATCATCAAAAGAAAAAAAAATATTATTGCATTTAAAAGTACTGAAATTTTTTTTAGAAATTAATGGAAATAAAAAAATTACCTCTTGAACATTCAATTTTTCTTCATTTTCCAGCATGTCATTTAAATATTTCTGGAAAATAAAACAAATTTTTTATCTATTTATCTGCATTTTCATAGGCTTATCCATGTAATATGAATGAAAATAAACAAACTATAATAGGATATATTTATACTTTCAAAATTTAAATATATCCTATTTATCAATATCTCATAATTTCTATCCATATTTCAATGCTTACAAAAATGCTCAACACTCCTCAACAATAAAAAAAAAGTATAATAATTTTATTGTAATAAAAAATTTTAAAACTCATCCTCAACTGAAAATGTGCAACTAAGATACAGTTTTAGTACTGATTAACTTTCAAATATAAAAAAACAAAACTACACAATAAATGAAGAAGAAATTCAAAACTATGAGAAAAAAAATAAAAACTATACTTACAATGCAATAAGTAGTATCAAAATATACAAAAATGAGCTAAAAGCCGTCAAGGAAACACATTTATAACTGCAGAAATATCACAAATATACATCACAATATATTATTTCCTTAAAAATACTTATAATTGACAAATGCTATTTTGAGCATCCACAGCTGCTAGAAATTTTTGAATCTCTTTCACATGTTTTTATCACAAATTTCAAAATGTCTGCAATAGTATATTAACAGAAATACACAAGTAGAGATATGTGTTAATGGATTCTAGTCATCTGCAGGCAATTATATTTATAATTATAAAACTTGTAGTGACATATTTATAAGCCATACTTTTTACAAAGATTACATTTTTACATCTAACTGCTCTCTCGTATTGTTTCCAGATAGGTACTTTACACAATTATAAAATTTTCACTCAGATAATGGCACAATACCTAGAAACATCTTAATGGTTACAAAGTAAGAGAGGTGTTTTTTCCCCAAAAGCACTTTCCAGAACAATTTGAAAATGTGGCTAATCATTATATTGCTACTATCTAAGAATACAGCTTGAAATGAAACTTTCTAGGCTTGTAACTGTCAAAGTGTTAAATTCTTTGAAAAAATTTAAAACAATCATTTCATTTTGAAGTATATTTTTCCCTTGTGGACTATGAAACTTTATATAACTTATATAATTCAAATTGATTTGATACTAACAAGTACAGAAGGACAAGTCAGTCTATTTTGTAAACAGGCTAGTAGGTCTTACATAATTTCCCATTCATGCTATTTAACTATTAATATCATTAAATGACTTTTTTTATACAACACATATGATTAATAAACAAATCAAAACTAAAACTTTCATACTAGTTTTTTTTTAAGGCGGGGGTGCTCATCTTCTTACTTTTACTTTTTTACTCTTTCATGTGTTTAGAATCACCACCCAAGAACATGGTTTTTATCATTAAGCACGTTTGACAGTTACGTTGAGAGTTACAGATATTTAATGAAATAGATTTAAGCACAAATAAAGGGTAATAAATTAAAAGTTAGATGCAAATTAAGTGAAATTAAAATTTAAAAAAAAAAGGATACATTCACTTTGTGGCAGGATATTTTTCCTCTGTCATCCAGGCCAACCATTATTCTATGCTTATAGAATAATGAATTAACACTAGCCATACACTGTTCCAACATACGATATAGCTAAAAATTATAGAATAAGATATAGAGTAAGACAAATTCAATTTTTAAATACAATTCTTTATTATAAAAACCTTCATCCCCCAATTTTTGTTCAAAACTTTGTACCTTAATAGTACCTTATAAGTATAGTTCTTAAGTTCCTGAAAAGGAGTTTTCTCTAGGGGTGCCACACACACACACACAAAATTATTCATTTAAATATTTATTCAGATCAGTATCACATGCTAATTTTAACTGATGTATAAGCTTTCTAAAAACAATTTCAATCATTCAGTTAAAAGCTACTAAATCAACACTTTAAAAATATTTCATTATCACTAATTTCATAAAACTATTTAAAAAAAATTAAAAAAAACATATTACTTATTAAAATTTTCTAAATGATAATGCTGTTATTCTAATTCACTAATGTTATTCCAATTTATTGCAAAAAAAAAAAAGAAAATTAAAACATTTTAATATATTTTTAATTATTCTTGCGAAATTATACAACAGCTAAATATTTATATTTTATTTCATTGCAAAAAATAAAACTTTGAATTACTTCAAATTATCAACAATTTCTTTAAATCATATTATTGAATGATTAAAATCTGAAGCAACAGAATTAAGTTATTTAATAAAAATAAAAGATGAATAAAATTAAAGGCAAACAATAGGAAAATATAAATTCAAAAGTAAAATTATTAAATTTATTCTAAGTTTACGTTAAAGTTATGTCAGTTTAAAATAACTATTACAAATCAAACAACATGAAAATCATAATGTGTGAAGAAACCATGAAATTTCAATAATTCAAGCGATATTCCTGTATTATGTCAAGTGACAAACCTAATATATATGGTATTCCAGGTAAATGCAAGCACATTCTTCTGCAATTAACATCTGAACAGGAAATAATACATACCATTTGAAACTTGATTTTATACACTAATATTAACAAATTAATAGCCATGGTATGAGACTATTACAACATAACAAGAAGGTATATCAAAAAATCTGTATACCCTGAATAGCAAATTCACAAAAGTGATACATAAAAGTCTAAATTAATCCTTTTGTGACAGGAAGAGCAAACGGGCGCTCATCGCTGAGGCCGGTAGTCTCTCTCGCGAGTGTCTGTCAAGGGACGGAGGGTTTTTTGCTGTTAAGCCTAAATCCATGAAATTACTTAAATATAAACGCATTGCTTAATAATGTTCTGTAGAGTACCTAAATGGCATATGCTTTATATATTTCTATAAATACTTTATTTACTTAAGTTATTTATTGTTTAAATATATATTTTACACATTTTATTTTCATTATGTACTTACCATTTAATAACTTTTAACATTATGTATCTGAAAACTAAATATACGACTTAAAATTCCTTCTTCGTATGAAAAATGTGAAAACACTAACATTCAACTAAAAACTGGACCGCAAATCGAAATATCCAACGCTGTAGAGGAAAAAATAAAACCTCCCCTGTTTACAGTAAAGAAATACCATGTGCGAATTTAAAGAGCCGTCATAAAGCAAAGCATGCCATTCGGAAACATTCCTTTCTCCTTCATTCCCTCCCCCTAAAAACCATGTGCATGTGAGTCACACTACTCTCATTTTGAGTAGAGTGTCAAATCTACATTTATCTGAAACCATATGGACATACAATGCCATCTTCTAGCAAAAATATTATTTTTTTAAACGTTCCAGGACACTGGCACTAATGGGTGACGTTCGGGAGTGAACGAGAAAACGCTCTTGCATGCTGGCGTGTTGGCCGGGAAGTGTGATTGTCGGTGCAAAAGGGTTAATGAATGAGAAAAGGTAACGCAAAATATGTATAATTATGAAAATATTTTTTCTCCAAGAAATGTGAACATAACTTTTTGTTTACAAAATTCAACTAATTTCTCAACAAAAAAAACAAATAGACAGTCTTTCTTCTTTAAAAAAAAATTTTTCCACACAATTATTATTATTATACAATATATTAATTGAAAACTGTGAATTGGATATTAAAAGTTCAATGCGGTTATTTAAAAAGATAATCCATCGGGACTGCCAAAATAAGATTAATGGAACTTTGGCAAACTAATTTGCTAAAATTATTGTGCTAAATTGGCAACAACAAAAAAATTGAATAAAAACATACAACAAACCTATACTAAATATTATAACTAACCTTTAGTTTAATCCACATACAAACGAATATTCCAACCGCATTCACAATGAGCCAGACTAAACCTCCTCCAAACAAAGCCAATCCTCTGATGCCAGAAAACAAAAGGGAAAGAAGAATGACAAAACCCAACATGATCCATAATATAAGGACTCTCTTATAACACACATTGTAGACATTGAAACGGACATCATTGACAAGGACCTGCATTGCTGTCACATAATCTTCAACAGTTAGCTATAGAGAGAATTATGCATCAGTTTCGACAGCCACAAGTGTATTACCGGTTTAAATCGGATTAAATCAAAGTGTCAATTAAAAATCAGTAAATTAAATTAATATATCAAATAGGTAATCATCAAAATGCAAAAATTCCGAGTCTTTATTAAGCTAGAGTAATTCCTTAATACAGTTATAACTCTTTGGTAAATGCAGAGCTATTATTAAACATACAATAACTAAAAATAAGTGCCTACTAAAATAAAAATTTTAATATGAGTAAATAATTTTTCAAATATGAAAATCAACAATTTATACGAAATTAAAATATATATATACAGTAAATTTTGTCCTACTAGATGATTTATCTACAAAAAGATAAATGAAATAAGGGTTATCAATAATAGCTTACATAATCATAATGCATCTAATTAATCTATCATAAAGCATTAATGCAAAACTCACAGTCAAACCTTGAGCCATAAGTTCTTCAGGAACTAACTCTGGCTTGAATTGTGCTTTTGTAACCCAAGGGCACTTTTTATTTACTGGTAGCAAATCCACAATAAAATCACCATTACCTGCAATATAATAAATAATATGCAAGATCATTATAAACGAAAACACAACACTTTTTTTTATAAAGAAAACACAATTGTTAACATTTATGTGATATATGTTTATTTTGACATCTACCATACTTAATTACAGATGCCACAAGGATTATTAGGAGTAAGAGCCATGTAAACACTTTTGTGATAATATGTTTAGATATTAGATTTATCATATTTAATTTTTCTATGATGCTGTAATCAGTAATAACAATGCAACTAATAACGTGCATTTTTCGTGACTGATTCAATGTAAAAAAGAATTAAAAATACTGCCTCTTCTAAAGAAACAAGGGTTTTTAAGAATCGCCTATTGTCCTTTCCAGATTATGAAAATGAACATTTAAAGGTGCATTTTTTAAAAATAATAAAGTATTAATTTTGAAAAAAATTTAAAATAACTTTAAAAATTTTTTAATATTCCATTCAAAAAAAAGCGATACTCATAAAATTTTAACCAGTTGAGAATAATCCTAACAAAGTAAATATTTGTAATGGTAATCAGAATTAAACATATAAACACAGATAATTTTACCAGTGTGTAATTATTATTTAAACAGTCAATTAATTTATTTTAAAATAGAATATGAATAAATAGGCAGTGTTAAGGGATAGCAGTTAATATTTACAAAAAGGGTGCAATTATTGAGATCAAAGAACAAGTAGGATGGGCTGCCCTTCTAGAACGCTTAGGGAAAACACTGGTATAGCACTGGTGTAACTATGCATAAAAACAGCATAAACAAAATGAACTTACGGAAGCCCTGTCTGATTTCATGATTGCATGTTCTCGGATGAGATACGTTTTCCGATAAAGGAATATTTTGCATTGTGTGTCCATTATCACCAACAAAATCTGGAGGACAAGAACTACGAGTTGAGGGTAAAATTTCAGAAGTAGTTTTTCTCAGTTGTCTTGGGGCAGGGGGAGGAGGAATCGCCCCTTTAGGTGAGTTTCTACCAGGAAGAAAATTAGAATGAGGAGGAGAAGATCTGTCGAGTCCGACTTTCGCTTCATGTAAAACTTCAGAATCAATAGAAGTTAATGATTCATTCAAAGAATGTGACGTATTATGGACAGTGTCTACTTGGATAGTTTGAGTCGGAACAATGGTAGCAACTGAATTTTCAGTTTTTTCCTCCTCTTCAAATCTAATCCAAGATTGTTCTGGAGATCTGCCCCTTGGGGCAGGATCTGTATCAAATGGGTTGCTTGTGTCACGAGATAGATTCGTTGAGGGAGATTCCATTTTTTGAGAACAGAGACACAGCACCTACCTAAATTCAAAAATAAACAAATGAAATAAATCAGTTCAAATAATAGAATAATTTACAGTGCCTAAAGTTTCTAGAATATAATGTTAAAATTTTAATTTATATTTCAGGGGTCTGTTCAGAAGAAATTTGGGTCTGTTAACAGACCCTTCACAAAATATCTTTTCATAAAAACGGACCCTTCACAATATATTTTAACTTAAAAACAGACCCTTCACAATATATTTTAACTAAAAAACGGACCCTTCACAAAATGATTTTTCTACAAAATGATTTTTCTTTTAATCGGACCCTTCACAAATTGGTTTATCTTCATTATTGTTTGGTTAATTGAATAAATCCTTCCCAGGGCAGAAAACAAGAGAGATGGATATAAACAAATTAAGTTTCATCTTCGGCATACGATTCTTTCATTATTTGTCCGAAATGAATATTCTGCGCTCAGCAGTATAGGCTAAATACCAAATATTTGTAAGTTGCATCTCTAATTTAAAAGCAGCAAATGCTGTTTATTTTTGAAAATTTAATTTTTTTTTATTATAATTTTACAGTGCTGAGCATACTCTTGTAGCTATTTACAATTTAAAAACTCATTGAAAAAGTTTTTTGCAATAAACAGACCCTATTTGCATAAATTCATAAAAGCAGGACCCTGGTTGAAAGAATGTGAGTAATTTTTTCACAAAAATAGGACCTTTCACAAAATGTTTGGACAGACCCCTGTATTTAAATTGTATAACAATCGGATTGGCAAGAAAGTTTATGCTGCTTTTCAATAAAAATTGAAAAACAAATAATAAATTTCGATAAAAAGTATACGAATGCCACTTCGTTCCACAACTTTTCTACATCATTCAAATACTTTTAAATTATGCCCTTCTCTAAACTCAAGGGTTTTCCAGAAAAAATATTTAATGTATGAAATTTACCATAACCAAACAGCTTTTATTACAATAAAAAAAGAATTGCAACAGCTAAAAGCTTTAAAATTGTTTAAGTAACAAAAAATTTGAAATATAATATTTTAATTTCATGTGAGGTTAATATTAAATATTGTTACTGTCATATAATTTATTCAAGTTATTTTAAAATTTTTGCTTGAACAACCTAATATTTATTAAAAATATATCAGGATATTTCTGCACTGGCTCAGCTACCATTGCCAAGGCATCAAAGAGTCTTTGTACTTGTAATTTTATTTCAGTAATACTTGCCTGAGGCGACTATTAGTTATACCTTTCTAATTTGAACCCGTAAATGACATTGTTCTTATCTTTCTTTTTAGCTTCAAATGTGCCACTACCTGGATTACGGCCAAAACTTGGCGATTTCTGTGGTGCAGATACAAAAAAGGTTATATTCTGAAATATTTTTTAAATTTGACGGCTCCTTTTACTTTGTGGATTTTTGTATACCTTTATAATTCATTACATTTTAATTCCTTATTTGCGAAACACAATTATGAATAATTTGTGCTAAATTTGAATTGAATTGATATAATATAATTGATGTACATGATCAATTATGAATAATTTATTCTTGCAGGGGAGAGAAAGTTAAGAAAATGTCTTCCTAGACTAAAACTGCATTTTTTTATAGATAATTTAAAGAGATATCCGGCTATTCATAACTAATAACCTGTCCTACACATTACTTGACAGAAAGCTTAACAATGCAGAAAAAATTTCTCAATTTAGTAATTATTATATTGATATTTTATAATGTTTACTTTCATCACAATAATTTCAAATTATAGTTGCAAACGAAGCTCGTAGCTACAATATCAGCCGCTCCAGCATATAAATGTCAAACCCAAGCAATAAAATCATCAATCAGCTCCAGCAAATACATATAAATGTCAAACCCAAGTTTCAAGTAACACAAAATTCACATATCACATTGGAAATGATAAAACTAAAATAATGAGATTACTTAACTAAAAGTATAAAATGAGTAATACAAAAAAAAAATTTACCTATGTAAGAAATGTTTATAATGAGCTTTAAAGCAATTGTACTTTTAACTTATGTACTAAACAGAATAATTATCTTTATTTAGCATGTTTTGTGTATAAGAATCACAGTACCAAAATGTAAACAAAGAATTTTTCACATTTAAGGAAAGTTTTATTTGTAAATTAACTTCATTTAACGCTATAAACTAAATAAATTACAGATAATAATGGAACTGTTCAGCAAATGTATTTCACTTTACTAAAATTGAACTACATGCTGAAAAACAATCTAAATTTTAGAGATCCACGTCAATGTCAAATGTAAAGAAAAAGTAAATAATATTTCGTAACTTACGTTGTTTTCGATGAATCGTCTACCAGCGACGATTTACAGTCCAGTTGCGGTTGCAGTCAGGACTGGGTGTGGTTAATAGTAATATAACTTCTGGCTGTTTATTTCTGCATTACTTAATTTCCAACAGAGAAACACAAAATTAAAATCAAAATAGGATATCCATAGACACCGTGAATATCCATAGACGACCAGGTTAAGACATACGAGGTTTATTGTAGGGCAAACCATGAGAAAACCACCATTAAACATAGAAGAGTACGTAGTAGTAGAAGTTCTTTCACATCGCTCTAGAGCTGCACAGTGGAAACATCCCTAAAGATGATCCGAAGACATGCCATAGCAATTTTGATCCTCTGCGTCGGGGATGGCACCCCCACTTCGGTAGCCCAACGACCTGCACGCGAAGTCAAGCACTTTACGGTAGAACAGTTTAACGAGGACTAATACCGCACACCCTCGGTCCCTACGCAGACTGATCCAAGTGGTCACCCACCCGCACACTGACCGTAGCCAGTGATGCTTGACTTCGGTGATCTGCTGGGAACCGTGTCTTAACGATCAGTCCACTGCGGAACCAGTAGAATTCCGAAGTCAAGCATCAGTGGGTGGTCAGTTAGTTAGTGACCATGTTGATCAGCCTGCATTGGGACAGAGCATGCATGGTATCGGTCCTCGTTAATCTGTTCTACCATAAAGTGCTTGACTTTGCGTGCAGATTATCGGGCTGTCAAAACGTGCAGAGGATCAGTAGCTATTCTTACTGAAATTGTATTAGCATGTCCTAGGATCGCCCTCTGATATTTCCTAGATCGTCGCCTATAGCTCATTAAGCAGTCCTAGTACGACGTAAATAAAATACCATTCTAGTGTAAAATTAGAGGCTACACTGAAAAATAATTTTTACAAATAATATTGACTCAAAGAGATATTTTTATTAAAGTTTTTATACTCATTTTAGTTAGTTTGTTTTTTCTCTCATTTAATACCTTATATCTATGTTACCATATAACAATTTTTAAATGTCGGTTCACCTAAAAACTATTTTTCCAGCAGGTAGATCGTATTTACTTAATCAATTTCTTCAAAATTCGATATTTTGCAAAAGATCCTCGGTTCTCGTTTAACTGTTCTACTATAAATACCGGTACGGTATAGGTAAAAAAAAACTTCTGTT